GAACACAAGTCTGTGCACGCATAGGGCGACTATCTATAAGGCAGGAGAAAGAGCAACTGTTGGGAAGCTGTGAAATGAAGTTTCCAGAGCTCACGTAGGGCTGAGAGACAGTTGAATTCCTACCAGTCAACTAGGAAAGATTTCACTGAATACTTGAGGCATTCCAGAGAGGTGTTCAAAGAGTCATGCATTAGTAGTAGGGCTGAACTGCCCCTAAAGCAAATACTACTTTGGAGCTGCCCTAAGAAAGCTTAAAAATAAGCCTTGAAAAGATAACACTGATCTGCAAGTACCTTAATGTTTTGCCAAAACAAATATCAACATTCTTTAAAGGAAAAACAACAAAACCCAACAGCTCACATTAATTCATAATATCTGGCATCTAATTTAAAAAGTACACATATGAGAAAGCAGGAAAATGTGACCCATAACCAGGATTAAAAGATTGAGTGGAAACAGACCAGAAATGATAGAGGTGAAAGACTTAGCAGAAAAGAACTTTCAAGAATTGCTGAAAAAAATTAAATCAAAAACAAATAAATGGAAAGACATCCCATGTTCATGTTTTGGAAGAATTAATATTGTTAAAATGCCCATACTCTCCAAAGAGATCTACAGATTCAATGCAATCCCTATCAAAATCCCAATGGCATTTTTTTTTTACAGAAATAGAAAAAAACAATCCTAAAATTCATTTGGAACCACAAAAGACCACAAATAATAGCCCAAACAATTTTGAACAAGAAGAGTAAAACTGGAGGTATGACTCATCCTGATTTCAAAATATATTATGGTAATTAAAACAGTACACTGCTATCATAAAAACAGATATATAGACCAATAGCCAGACTGATCAAGTAAAAAAGAGAGAAGACACAAGTTACAAATATAAGAAACTAATAAAGAGACATTACTACAGACCTTATAGACATTAAAAGAGTGATAAGGAAATAATATGAAAAAAACTTTATGCCCATAAATTTGGCAACTTGGATTAAATGAATAGGTTCCTTGAAAGATACAAACTGCCAAAACTTCCTGAAGAGGAAATTGAAATCCAGCTAATTGAATTCCTCTATTAAGGAAATTGAATATGTAGTTTTAAACCTTCCAAAAAAGAAAACTCCAAGCTAAGATGACTTTTCTAGAGAATTCTACCAACATTTGAGGAGGAACGTGTACCAATTCTATACAAATCTTCCAGAACATGCAAAAAAATGACCCTCGATCCATATTATTTACTTAATTCAAAAATTACCCCTAAGCAGATCATAGACCCAAAGCCAAATCCCCAAAATTTGTAGAATAAAACATAGGAAAATTTGGTGTTACCTTATGTAACTATTTATTAGCTATTATATCAAAAGCATGATCCATAAAGAAATATTTGATAAATTAAACTTCATAAAAATGAAGAACTTCAGAAAACAATTTTAAATGAATGAAAAGACAAGCCACAGACTGGAAGAAAATATCTGTGAAACACATACCTCACAAACAACTTTTTATCTAGAATATATAAAGAATTATCAGAACTCAACAATAAGAAAACAACTCAATTTTTTAAAATGGGCAAGGGAGTTGATCAGTGCCCCCCCCCTCCCTCTCCCTCTCTCTCCCTCTCCCTCTCTGTCTCTCTGTCTCCCTCTCTCTCTCTCTCTCTCTCTCTCTCTCTTTCTCTCTCTCTCTCTCTGTTAAATAAGCACATAAAAAGTTGCCGAATGTCATCATTGTGGAAATGCAAATTAAAACTATGAGATAGCATTATACATTTAATAGACTGTCTAAAATAAAAACAACTGACATTATGAAGTTCTGTTAAGGATTCAGAGCTGTTGGAACTCACATGCATTACTGATGGGAATGCAAAAATGGTATAGCCACTTTGAAAACAGTTTGGAAGTTTCTTATAAAGTTACCTAGATACTTCCATACATCCCAGAGAAATAAAAATTTACGTTCCCACAAAACCTCTATGTGAACATTTCTTACAGCTTAATTGTAATAGCAGATTTTTTTTTTGGTAGAAATTGACAAATTGATTCTAAAAATCTATGTGGAAATTCAGAAAACTGATAATATTCAAAGAAATCTTAAAAGGAAAAAGATGGAGGGCTTACATGACCTGAATTCAAGGCTTAGTATTAAGCTTCAAAAGTTAGTATAATGTGGTATTAGCATAAGGATACACATGTAGATCAAACATAAATTTATCATGTAACTCCGAAATGCTGTTTCTAGGTACTTATAAGAAATGACAAAAATATGCCTGCTGAAAAACTTGTACAGGAGTGTTCATAGCATTTTTATCTGTAATAGTCACAAACTGGATAAAAATCAAATGTTCATTTGTGAATTCATGGATAAACAATTATCCTAGATCCATGCAATGAAATGCTAATAACTAATAAAAAGAGGTGAATCTCAAGTGCAGTATGTATAAATGAATCTCAGAAACATAATACTGAGCAAAAACAGCCAGCCAGAAAAAGAGTACATTGTTCATACCATATGATACCATTTGTATGAAATTCTATAGCAGGTGCACTAATCTCTGGTGACAGAAAGTAGATCAGTGCCTAGAGTCTAGACTAGATTGTGGATGGCATCAACTACAGGGAGGTACAGTACAATTTGGAGGTTGATGAAATGTTTCATGCTTTGATTGTGATTTTGGTCGTATGGGTGTTGATGTTTGTCAAAACTCATAGATATATGCACTAAAATCCATTTTATTTTGTGTAAATTATACTTCAGTGAAGTTGATTTTTAAAATAATCCATGAACTAGCCATTGTTTTTAAGTTGGGGGAAATGACATTTTAGTTTTCCCTTTATTTTCTTGTATTCTAATAATATTATTGGAGAAACTACCAAAAAGAAGCAACTAAATTTGTTTTCTTTTAGTTAGTATAGTGGCAGCAGTGACATCATTCAGCTCTGTGTTTATTTTAAGGAGGCCAGCTTTACTAAGTGATATGCAGAAGAACTTTTAAGCCTGGTTGTCAACAGTCTCGTAAGAGCAAGGGGATGATCTCCTGAATATACTTAACTTTTAATTCATACAACATGTCTCACATGAATGTAGCCCCTAATTTTATTAATAAGAAAATAGAAAAAGGCATTCACAATATGTTGTATTTATCTTCAGAAGATACTACATTTACACATTTATCCCAATAATAGCTCCTTCAACTCCACCATTATTGACGTGTTTCAGACACATCACCAATTGCAGGAACAGGAAAGACAATTTTCTCTCCTTGACTTATGAGCTTTTCCCACTACATTGCAAATATCAATTTATTAAAAAAATAATAATCCTTAATAATTGTGTGACAAAGTCATCTATAAGAGAAAGAGCCCTTTTCACAGACCAAGTTAGCCTAGAATGTTTGATGGTTTTTTGTAATGAAAATATCCAATGCTAGAGCAGATGGTCACTGCTCATGAGGTTGTAGGTTGACAGTTTTGGAATCAGTATGAAATTTGCTTTAAGATCCTGAAGAATATGTCTACCTTTTGATCAAATAAGTCTACTTTTAAAACAGAATTCATTAATTAGGGCTATGGTTTGAATTTAGGGAATTTTCCTTCATTAGAAGGAAGAGAGGAAATTCAGGGAATAATATTAATTGTTAGTATTATAATAGTAATTGTTACTATCATAATTATTTTAGGTTTGTTCATTATAAAGGATATTTCATTTAGCTTTCATTATATGCCTGTAATTGCTGCCGGAAAATGGGTCCTTGGTGTCAGTTGCAGGAAGGAATTCAAGGACGCACCCAATAAGCCAAACAAGTGATAGATTTATTAAAAAGGTAATACACTCTCAAGATAGCAAGAGTGGGCAGGCCTGGAGAAGAGCAGCTGCCCCAAAGAACAAAGAGGCTTAAGAATTTATTACTCTTAAAAAGAGGGCATGAAATAGCTGAGTTTTAGGGGTGGCATAGGCATTCATAGGCTTTGCCCTATCTGACCACTCTTTCTCTTCTAGAGGAGGGATTTTTGTCCTTATCTGACTTTTCAGAACTGTGATGGCACCACAAGGAGTGGGGATTTTTTTTCTGGGCTGCCATGCTATTAATAGTATAATCTGTTATAATTACCTAAAAAGTGACAAGATGGTGTCCTGGGTCTGCTCTCAGCACAAAAATCTAGTTCTAGCTGGTCTGGTAGCTGCACTTTTCTTAAAGATGACCTCATCTCCTTCCTTCTTTGTCTCCCCTCACCTCCTCCTTTCCTTCCTCCCCCTCTCTCTCCCCAGGGCCCTATTCTTTCTGCCTATGATAACATAATCAGGAGATAGCCCTTGAGTGATAAATTTTAGATTTATCCCTGTAAGGAGAGTTTTAACTAGGTGTTATACTTGAAACAAATTGGCATGCAGCTATTGTACTTTTCTATTTAACCTAGATTGCATGAAAACCAAATGCAATGCAAGGGCAGCAAAAGAGGGAGAATTGGGTTGTCTCCTCTGGTGCTTTCCTGAGTCAGAAGATCTAGGTAACAGTACTGCCCCCACACAGAACATGCTTAGATGTATTGAGTCATCTCTTATTTTTGAATATGTCAAAGTGGACTGACTTTTTTTTGCAAACAAATTGCAACAGCATGTGTAATGGGATTGTAATAAACTGACTCCCATTTTTATGCTATTGGATTGCTACAGGTCATATGAAAATGTACACTTCTTCCCACTTACTATATTTCTTAACCAATTAACTGCCAAGAATTTCTTCGAATCTTATCTCATATTCTACTTTTGTCGGGCTCTCTAATGAGAAGATTGCTTGGTCATTATTGCTCTTATGATATGTCTTTCCTCCTGACTTGGAGTCACGTCAATATCAATTTTGCCATTTTCATTTTTATTTTTAATTTCTTGATACGATGAACTTTTATAATTACCTTGTATTTGTTCCCTGGCATTTATTTCATTTTTTTTAATATAAGAGGATTTAGACATTTAACCTATTGTGATATTTGTATTTGCAGTTCCCTGAATGTGGTTTCTATGGAATGTATGATAAGATCCTGCTTTTTCGCCATGACCCTACCTCTGAAAACATCCTTCAGCTGGTGAAAACGGCTAGTGATATCCAGGAAGGCGATCTTATTGAAGTTGTCTTATCAGGTAGTAAACTTTTTTCTCTCTCCATAGATTGATATTTAGTATTTGAAGAATTCTTGCACACAGCCTTTTAAGGCAACACAGAAAACGCACATCAAACTGGGCCCCAAAAGGAGATTTTAGAGCTGTTTACATGTGCTTTCAAAATTATTTTGGAAAAAGCAAAAGGTTTGCTTTGAATTGGCTGTTTGTACACCCAGTACTTCCCAATTACTTCTCCCAACTTCATGCTTTCCCCAGCTCCCAACAACAAACGCATACCTTCATTCATTATCTTGAATCATTTGGACAGCAGCAAAAGCAAACAAAAAACTTTCCAACAGTGAAGCTAAGACATATCTGGGCCCCAAATGTACTGAGTGTCTGGAAGCCAAGAAATAACAGCAGGGCTCGAAATCCATTGCTTTAGTTGAGTCAAACGTCCTGTAGCTGTAAGCCAAGTCCAAGTTGAAAACCAGAGCTCAGCAGTTGTAGCGCGTCAGGCTATGCCATATGACACCAGCTAACTCAGTCCCTGAGAAATGGCTGCTTTTCCCTCTGCTCAGACTTATATTTTCTGTTAGGATTTAGAAGTTAGGACTGTCCCTATCAATACAGAAAAAAATGGATGCATTTAATTAAAAAAAAAAGGTGCCAGAGAAGAACTGTAACAGGGATCCTTGCAATGATAATTGGTACAATATTCCGAAGAGGTCCAGATTTTTATTGTTTATTTTTGTTTAAATTGAGTCATTGAGAAACTCGGATTGCATTGCTCCTTTCTCCCCTCTGGTTTTCTTTGCTCACTATCTCTTTGACTAAAGGAAATCTGTTAGCTTTAATGATTCCAGTCTTCATTTCTTCAAGTTCCACAATTTGTTCTGAGTCTCGTGCTTAGGTGCACTGATTATAATTCAGGAGGTCTTTGCTTTGATTTAGTCTAATTTGCTTTGTCTTTTATCAGTCACCTATCATTGTGTGAGATCCTGGAATTGCCACATTTTCATTTAGTAAATAGATCCTATAACACAATATTGTTTGTGTTGTTTACAGGTTTGCCAGTTGCTAAATAAACAAAGCAAAAAGAGAAGCATTCATAGTTTCTTATTAATTTTTTTGGAAAAAAAATCACTTGCTTTGACTGGTTCTCCCTGTTACTTTTCTTTGGCTCTTTTGACGTTGGCTACCTGCACCCTGGCTTCACAAAACTAGTGCCTAGACGTGTCATTTTCTAAGTTTCCTGTTTCTGAACACTAGGGACTTCCTGAAATAAATTATTCAGGGGAACCATGTGCTGGATCTATTCTCACCATAATTCATATTAAACTCATAGCCAGGCTGCATTGCAACTAATGTAATGTGTTTTATGAGGTTTTTTTTTTTTTCCTTGTGGCAGTGTCCAGAAATATATGAGGATATTGAAAATTGCATTTCTAAATCCAATTTATTTGTCTTTCCATTTTGCTTTTGTTATCAAGTGCTTTAGAGTAGCAGCCGCCAGATTGAATGAAGCTGGTGGGGGGTTGTGGAGGAGAGGGCTGTCCATTTGCATGTTATCCCAGTGTCAGTGAGCTAGACCTGCCTGCCCCCCACTGACTTACCTGGTGAGCCATCCAGAGTGCCCTTGCAGCACAAGGCGCTGCATCCTGCCTTCCCTCTCCCTGCTTTTAACCGAGAACTTCATTGTGCTCCTACTCTGCTTCTTTTGCCATCCAGACCCTTTGTGTTTCATCTCTCCTGTCTCCCTACAGCAAGAGGCCTTTTAAGAGCAGCCCTTTTTCTCACCTGCACCCCCAGCAGCAGGATGAAGAAGGCTTCTCCTACTCTTATCAGCCATCTTGTTGCTATTGAAAAGGAGCCATTCTGCAACCAATAGCTCAGTTTCAATTTTGAGCCTGCAGCCTCTGAACCCTTTTCTCACTCCACATAGTCCCACTGCCCCAAAGTCATTTAACCCTTAAATTATTCAGCAATGTATTTTTTAGTTACACGTAGATTCCATTATGTGTAGATCTCTAGCATTTATTTGTAAATTTCTTTGTAAACTTTGGAAGCTTCTTTCTAGCTCCCCTCCTCCTCTAAATGGTTAGCATTGTGATTTTCTCAGTAAATGTTAAAGATGTTTTTCTTTAAAGCACCACCTGCTTCATGTTACAGCCTTGTTTTTTCCCATACCTCCTACCTTCTTTCCAAGAAGGCCCCGCGTCTCCTGTGATCAAATGCCCGCTGTTTCTTCCCTGTCTTGTTGCCTCACTTGCACTCTGGCTTTCCCGAAGGTGACGCTGCACTCACCTTCCATCTGGGAGACCTTGCCACTCAATGTCCTCCACTCTGAAGTGAGAAGTTGAGTGAAATGGTCCTCTTCTCATTCCCTGTTTCCATTATTGGTTATTTTCTGTACCACCCTCCTCCAGTTCCAATGATATCTGTTTCACTATTCGTGTTGGCTTCTTTATAATATTGCATGGGGATGATTTACTTCCTTGAAGGCTCATTGCTTTTTAGCCATGGCAATAACTTCAGCATCAAACTCCTATTCTTTCTTTCCATTTTCTGCACCCAGTAATCTTTGGCATTGTTAACATGCATGTTTATAACTCTTCAGATTCCTTGTTATCGCTATTTGCTGTCAGTCACCTGCAGCATAGACCCAGACCTGACCCCTGAGCCATGGCTGTAGCCTTGAGGCTGCCACTTGGCAGCATCCTCCTCCAATCTCTCCATTGCTACCAAATACATATTTCTGTTCCCGGTCTCTTTCACTATAATTTTCAACGATCTCCTTACCATTTTTTGGTCTACAATTTTTCCCTTTCTTTTTCTCTCCCCACAGCACATGGCCCACTATGTGCAGGTTTTACATCACTTCTGTGCAGTCTCAACTGCCTCGTATTCCCTTATACCCTGGAAGGGCCTCTTACGATTGTCAGTAATCTAAATTACTTCACCAGCCATTGTTGCCATTCCTGTTCCTGAGCCACACATGACTGCTAGACACTCAGTCCCCTCCCTGCCTGCAAGGCTCAGGCACATTCATCTTTCACCCGGCCTTACCATTGTTCAGCCTTCTTCTCCTCCCCACCCGTCCTCTCGTTACCATAGACATGAGATTTTCCATCAACATGTGTGTACTGGTTGATTGACTGTTGGTTATCATATTAGAAATGATCAGATATATAATATGTTGTAAAAATTTATAAAAATATTATTTCTAGTTATATCCTCCAAAGGTAACTGAAGTTTGAGTCTCCTTGCAGTACATCCACTCAGCCCTGACAAGAAATTAGTGCCTGTTATGTGGGCAGGATTACATTGCATTATAATTTGAGGCAAGACAAATGATAACTACTAAGACACGCTAGGCCATGGGTACAAGGAAGCTCAGGATCACATCCTCCTTCCTCAGTGAGTCCTGGGAGTGGATTGAGTGCTGTGATTGGCCACAGAAATATGCCATTTCCTGGAAGTGTGGTTAAGGATCATCTTTATTTAAACAGCAGCAGGTAAAGAGGGTAGAGGGGCAAAACATTGGGTGTCCCCTCCGTTGCCCTTTGACCAGTTCTAGAACATAAACATTCTGGGAAATTTTCCTCTTTTTACTGTTAAAACTCATTTATCAAATTTTCTGTTTTTCCTAATCAAAAATTAAATCTCACGATACAGTTTGACATATTTTAATATAGGAAGAACCATAATCTAGTTCTTCCTTTATTTAACCCACATTCTACCAATAGGAACATTTTTTTGACATAGGAGAACAGTAAACATGTGATAAAATACAGACAAACTTAATTTTGAGGAAAGTTAAATACTCTTGTCTTTTTAGACAACATTAGGAATTTTCTCTTACTTATGTCATTTTCTGCAGAGACTTTTTCATCATCTGTTAGTACTAACCAGGCTGCTCCTGGCTAATTTGCTGGTTTTTCTCCCTTTTTCTTTTTGAAAAACATGGCTTGTGTGAGCTAGTGCATGGAGACCCAGTAAGCCAGGAAAAGATTGCTCATTGGCGAATGGATTGGGTTATGGAGAAAAAAAGAAATAACTCCATGGAAGTTCCCCACCATACACACTCCCACCCCTGGCAAATTTTCTTTGTCTGTTAAAGAGAGGATTAGTATTGTTACGATTGTTCTGAAGTAGGAAAACAGTGCAAATGGAAATTTCTCTTACTAATGCCCGAGTCAATTTCAAGTGTCTTGTACCGAACAATATAATAAAGTTCATGGAATTTATCTGAAGTCTTCTTCATGATGGGTCTCTATCAAAGCATGGTAATTCAGCCATAGCAAAGCAAATTAGCAACAGAACTGCATTCACATGACTCAACTCTTTTTGTTTTAGTTCTTTTGAGTATTTTGGGGCTTTGTCTTTCATAAAGTGTGCTTGTGTGTGTATGTGTGTGTGTGTGTGTGTGTGTGTGTGTGTGTGTGTGTGTCTACATTGTAGATGATTAAATGGAAAATGGACAAAAGACAAGAATTTCTCAAATAAAATCAAATTTTGAAATCTTAGAGCTAAATATTAAATTATTTTCATTAGTGGTAAAAGTCCATATTTTTGTTGGATTTTTTTCATTATTTTTTGCAATATATTATGCTGTATTATTTATGACTTCTGCAAAACAACTGTTTTTATATATGGTTATTTATTTCCTACTATCTAGAGACGGGAGCCTTGTTAGAAACCTAGTGCTATCACCCAGGCAGAGAGGGTATGGGCTTATTCTCAGGAGTGACAGAGAGCTGAAAATGAGGTAGGGAGATCAAGATATATTTTAGAGGTATAATTAGAGGTATAATAACTATTTGGATATAGTTGATGGAGAATGAAAAAATGAAGAGGACTCTAAGGAGAGCTACAGCTACCTAAGAGGGATCACATTTCCTCCCCCATCTCAAGTTTTGCTTTCGTCTTTTGTTCAGAATGTTTGCCAAAGAGGTTGGGTATTTCCTTGAGGGGCTGAAGAACTGATTTCTTGAGCATGTGGTATCATTGATTTCCTTTGTAATTTTGTACAAGTT